AAATTATACCCTCTTTTTGACAAGGAACTTCAAGATATTAGAATTCTTATCTCTCACATTTAGGAATCCTGGCATTTACTTTGCCAAAGTGCCCTGAAAAATGTATTTAATAAAATGGACAATTACAGTACACAGGTGGATATGGAAATTTGCTAATAAAAAAAAAGAATCTTCCAACAACAAGCACCTCCAACTTCAGAAGGGATAACCTCAGAGTATAGTCGTGGTCCTTGTATCTCTAGGGCATTTTCCTGGATATGTGACTCCTCTTAGCAATTTCAGTTACCAATGTACCCCTCATGAAGATCTATTTTGCCTTATCTTAAATGACAAGAAAAATCTGGCTGTTTTTAGTTTTCCTGTGCTCTAAATCAGCTATGGAAATTTCTGCTTGCCCAGGTGTTCTCAAAGAAAGTAGGCAATGGGCCTAAATGAAGTCTGGCAGAAAGAAATTAATTTTTAAAAATCAATAAGCTCTGCCTTTGTTTTTATTCAGTTTTAGAGAAATACATATCAGTGACATTTACCTTGGACTATGTCTCCATGGTTGAAATAATGAGAGCATGGCGGAGCGGATCAGGTGGCGTGGGTCATCCATTCCACCTCCTCAGCCTGCTTGACTGCCAGGCAGTAAGTGATGAAGACAGTTGAAAACTTGACCTTGCAGGGCTATTTGGTATCATACAGTCATCCTTCAACCATATGTATCTATAGAGGCATCAGAATTATGTAATTCAACATGTGTTCTCAGGCTGCACCTATAGAGTTTTTCATAGTGAAATTGGTAAGCTAGTTCATCATATTTGTTACTAGTTACATGCTTGAAATTTCTTGGGGTAATACCAAGAATTACATAGCACATATCCCTTGCTTAGTTTGCTACCTCCAGTAATGTTTGTTGGGGTTTTTCTTTCTCCCTTTCAACACTGCCTTTACATCCCTTCCCTATCTCATCCCTTTGCCAGGAAATAGTAATAAAGACTATACAAGCTTAGGAGTACCTTGAGATAAAACTGTTAAACAAAGATATGGATTGTGTCACATTACAGGCAGATGTATGTTTTTAGGTCTGTCCTTTTAATAGTGTCTCAGCAAGGTTATTATAAAAGGAAACTATTTAGGTTATTTCTCACAGCTGATATAATTTAATCCTTCTAGTTTCGGGTTTATTTTGAAATAACTAGATAGTGAAGGTGATGCCTCTCAAATATTGGATTATATTAGGTTAGAAATAGCAACTTCACAAAGAAAAATAACAAGCCTCTTTATTGAACAATCTTCCTGATTTTCTCTACTCAGATTCATCAAAACACAGAACTAGCAGGAACCATAAGACTGTAGTGGTTAAATCTCAACTCTGGAATTAGATGGGAATTTAAATCTCATCTCTACCTTGAGTAAACTACTTGACCTCTTGAAAGCTTCAGTTTTCTCATCTACAGAGTGGAGAAAATAACACAAGTGGCTTTGAAGATGGAATGAAAGTGCTTAAAAAGTGTTTTGCACACTTAGTTCAGCTTCTGTTGGGTATTTGAAAATTCATTCATTGGTTCTGCCAACATTGATTGATCACCTAACATGGTGCCAGTCACAAGCCTCTGGCAATAAAAAGATGATTAAGATAAAGTCTCTATCCAAAAAAAACTTCACAGTTTAGGGGCTCATGTAAGCACAAAAGTAAATAATTAAAATACACTGTGCTATAATAGAGGCATAAACAAAATATTATAAAATAACAACAATAATAATAATTTTAAAAAGTAAAGATCTAACTCTGGGGAATTCCGGGAGTGATCTATACAGTATGTTATATTGAGGTGAAGCCCAGGAAAGAATAAAAGCAACACTATTCCAAGAAACAAGGACAGAGGTAGGAAAGAGCCAGGTTCACCCTGTGACAAGCAAACCTGTGTGGTTGGATATGGCGTGCAGAGGTTCACTACCAGCCTGGTCATGAAGACATCAGATGACAAGACTGGATGTAAATTACCAAACAGTGTATTTTTTCCCATTTATAATTCTAATCAGTTTGGTTAACATATCAAAAGCCTTAAATTTTTAGGTATGCTGTGCCACATCATTCCTATATCTAGTGATTTATCCCAAAAGAACTAGCATAGCTATGAATAAAGATTTCATTATGAACTTCTGGTTCCTACCAAGATGGGAATCTAGAAGGGCTATCAGATATCACTGATTCAAATCAATCCTCGAGATATTACAGAAAAATGGGAAACAGATTCTAGGAACAAACAGCACCACAAAACTGTAGGGAACCAATGGGAGAACACAAAGGACTTTTGGCTTTTGGGTGTGTGACAGTGACTAGAGTCAACAAAGGGTGAGTGACTATGATTGGAGGCACAGGGTACCGGATGTGGCTGTGAACACATGAACTAGAAATGAAAGGTCTAATTTTTGTTCTTACCTTTCCTCACATTGTCTGGGGATCATTAATGCCTGACATTTTGCTGAAGGGTCCAGACTGTGGGTTGTCTGGATTTAGGGGATAGGATCAAGCTAGCATAGCAAGAATCCCTGAAGGGATGAAAAACTCGGGGTAAGTTCCTACCCACCAGCTTTCCTCAGTCACTCACTCATCCTCCCCTCCCCACTGGCCCCCACAGCTGGTGGGCTGCAGTGTTGGGAGTTAGCCTCCTGCCCCTGCTGCTTGCTTAAGCCTTTCCCAGAGGAGCTGCCTGGTGAGGCTGCGGCGAAATGGAGTGGTCAAGAGTGATTGCATGTTTGCTCAGCTCTCTGCCCGGGGTTCATACTTTCCTTTCTCCTTAAACTTGCCCCGTCTTACCAGACTAGGGCTGTGGCACTTAGGCTCTTCCACTGCACAGTCTACCAGATGTAGCAGCTGGCACTCTGAAGAGAACACAGGCTCATGGCCAAAATAATGAACCTAATGTGACTTTCAGTTACTTAATAGAACACACACACTACACTGGACAATATACTCCTTCTGTAAGTGAATTTTTAGAATAGATGGATGAATAATCTAAAATAAGTATGATAAAAACACATCGTTAAGAAACAGGACCAGGAGTAACAGCAAGTTAAAGAGTTAGATGAACACAGCTGAGGAAAAAAATTAGTGAGATAAAAGATCATATTGAGAAGTTCTCTCAAAAGGCAGCAGGAAAGAATGAAGAGGTAGAACACGGAAAAGGTGACAGTTATGGAGGATATTAGTGCCATTATCTGGATACAAAGAATCTCAGGAAAAAAAGAAAAATAGGATGGTGTATTTAAAGAAATAATGGAACAAAGTGTTTCAGGATTTTTGAAAAGTGAAAAACCTTCGAATGAGGACCTACAGAACACCAAAGAAGAGAGGTAAGGAAAACCCCACACAGGGAATAAAAAGACAAAAAGTCAATTCTACTACCTTCCAGAAAGGAAGAGCACCTCACCCAAGGAAAGAAGAATGAGATTGGTATTGGATTTCTCCACAGCAACATTGGATGGAAGAAAAGAATATAGCAATATTTTTAAAGTATCAAAAGAAAAGATATTTACTATGGCAATGCTTGTAATAGCAAAATATTGGAAGTGACCTAAATGTTTATATAATGGCACATGATTCAGCCATGCAAAAAATTCTATTGCAGAAAAATATATAAAAACACGAGAAAGTGTTTGCAATAAACATATTGTTCTGTGAACAAGAGATTATACACATGTCCAGAATGATTCTACTTTTAAAGTAGAAAGACTGAAAGAACATATGCAGGAATTTTAGTTTTTATGTTTAAGGGAGAGACTATGGATAATATTATTTCCTTTCCTTTTTGTGTTTTCTATCACCCACATTTTCTCTGATGAGTTTTTAGCACTTTTTTGAGAGAAAAAATTAATAATTTATGGATATAACTCTGATAGAATTCAAAGACTAGATATTAATTGGGAGAAGTTTTAAACACTGGGAAGCTACTGCAAAGATTTTGGTGTCACAAGGCTCAAGTTAAAGCAGTAGCAAAGGGGATGGATCCAAGAGTATCTATTGAATTGACACCCAGGAAAAATGAACAGAAATTGGTTAGCAATTGGATAGGGGACATGTCAGGATGACTCTGAAGTTTCTAGCTTCTCTGCTACTTTACTTATCATCAATTCCTAAATTTAGGCTTGAAAGAACTATTAGATAGGCCCTTTTAAAGAAATGCTGCGATACAAAGGGCAGATATTTATACTACATTTCCAGCAGCTCCTTCTATGACAGCACTTTTGAAGCTGATTTGTACATATACCTACATTGAGAGCCACAGCTATTTTATTTTCTAGAAAAACATTTTCTACAAATTCTTTCCCCACCTGTGTCATTAAGCAAAGGCAATTGCTTTATTCACCACTAACCTCTGTCTGAGTTCTTTTGAATGCAGGTTCAAAGGCACATTCCATGAATATATCTTTTTCCCATGTGTGTTGAAACCTGCTGGCAAAATGTGTTATTTCATATTCCTGTGGAAAAATGGGCCAAGCACATGAATAGACAATTTACAGTGGAAACAAACAAAGGGCCAATATCCATAAGAAAAGTGTTCAATTACCTTACTTACAAAATTAAATATAGTTTTAAAATGGCAAAATGACCTTTTGAAAAGATAATACACAGTGGCGGCAGGATGTTTGGGAGGTGAACATTTTCTCACGTGGCTGGTACATTTCCTTGAAAACTCACTCATTGCATACAAAGAATATTAAAACTATCCTTTTGTTCCCTTTTCAATCCAGGAGTCTCATTTCTAGGACTATATACAAAGGAAATAATTAGAGATATAGTTAAGGATTGATTAATGTTTAAAATGGACAACAATAAGATAATGGTATATCTACTAAATTGGAAAAGAATAAGATAATTGTATATTTACTAAAAGCACATTAAAAATTTTAACGATATGGGATAATATCAATGCTAAAGAAGTGACAAAACTTTATATGCCATGGAATTTTCATTTCAAAAATAACTTTTTGGCATTTTATTTTTTAAAAAGGACTGATAAGAAAGAACCTGAAATTATCAGCATCGATCATCTCTGTCTGGTGAGATTATTGGTAAGTTTTCATGATCATTATTGTTCTGATTTTTTTCAAAATCTCTAAAGTGAAACATGAAGATTTTAAAATTAGAAGCAACTATTTAAAGCAATTTGTTTCCAATATGGTTTCTGTGATGTTGGATATTCTTCCAAATTCACCTGATATTTTTTTCTGTGTATATGCAGTATATATAAAAATAGGTAACCAGCACTGATACCAAATAGGTTCAGTAACAGGAAAATTACCACATGGCCATAGTCATATGTTAATTTAACTACAAAGTTGTCTAGCGATTGTCCATCATTTAGTCAACATTTGTTGAGAGTCATAAATCCATAACTTGTCAGAAGTGGAAGGGATTGAGGAATAATATGGTTCAAGCCCTCATTTTACAGGTGGGCTTTGAGAAAATTTACTTTGCTTGGGAGACACTGGGAAGCTATTGAAGGCTTTCAAACTCACCCATGAGATAATTAGATAATTTTGGTAATAATGTGGAGGGTTGATTGGCAAGGTAATAGTTGAGGACCAGGACACTCAGATAGAAGACTATTTCAATAACCCAGGGAGAAAGTAATAAAGCCCTGAATCAGAATGTGAGGGTGGAGAGCAGATGAGGCTTTGGAGAGTATTTAGGAAACAGAACTGATGCAGTAGCGTCAGATTAACTATGGTGAAAAGATGAAAAGGAGTTAAACATGACCAAGTTTTCTAGGTTAGGTAACTGCAGAAGGTGATGTCAATGCTTGAGATAAGCTATCAAACATTTGTCACAGTTTCACCAGACTGTGGGCTTTCAATAAATATCCATTCATTGGCTGGGCGCGGTGGCTCAAGCCTGTAATCCTAGCACTCTGGGAGGCCGAGGCGGGCGGATTGCTCGAGGTCAGGAGTTCGAAACCAGCCTGAGCAAGAGCAAGACCCCGTCTCTACTATAAATAGAAAGAAATTAATTGGCCAACTAATATATATATATAAAATTAGCCGGGCGTGGTGGCGCATGCCTGTAGTCCCAGCTACTCGGGAGGCTGAGGCAGCAGGATTGCTTGAGCCCAGGAGTTTGAGGTTGCTGTGAGCTAGGCTGACGCCATGGCACTCACTCTAGCCTGTGCAACAAAGCGAGACTCTGTCTCAAAAAAAAAAAAAAAAAAAAATATCCATTCATTGACTAATTAGACCACTTTTCTGTCTTCTTTTGAGGATCCCAAGTATAGATTCATAGGTGTTTACTTTTAGCTTAATGTAGAGTTGAGAAATTTACAAGAAGACATAGGATATGTGCATTGGATTTTAAAGATGCGTTAATAAATTTCAGCTAGGCTATGCCAGTACATTCTGTGCCATCTGAGTCTAGGCCACCATTTTCATATTCATAGCACCAAAAGCAATTCCTAGAGAAATAGGACTGTTTTTAAGTTTTCTACTTTATAACGATTAGAAACTAATTTGAAATGTTTTAATGTAAAGGTGAAAGATATTTCTGGTCCAGTCACCAGATTTAATTAGTTGTTTTTAAACCAATATATTTTCTTCCTTTCTTTGGGCTCCATATGTTCTTCTCCACTGAGATATGAATTTATGCCCTCACTGAGACACAATAAACAGGCATATTCATAGAGCGTGTTTTCTTGCAGGCATGCCCTGTTGACATCACCATGCATATAAGAACGATCTTAGGAAAGAGAAAATTACAAAAGTAAAGAATTGTAAGAATGCATCCTTCTGCTTTACTAAAGTTGTTGTAGACATAACTACCTCAGCATTAGACCAACCTTAAAAGTGTTAGACTCCAGACAATCACCTAGTGCTTCTCTTACACCCTTACCAGGTGGCCAAGTCCTTGTTTAAATACCCCATACAGGGGCTACTTGCTTTGCAAATTTATTATAAAATATATTACTTAATTATTAATATATTTTAATTATTAAGATATATTTTAATATTACCTTCCAGTAAGTTGAAATTCGTCTCCCTGTAGCTTATATGTGTTAATCCTAGTTCTACCTCTTCAAGCCAGGTCCCCATTTTGTATATTAGTCTTTTAATTAATAAAGTCCTTCTTAGTGTTTTCTTCTTCATTCCCTTCATTTATTCTTATGCCTTGATCTCTTCATTATCCTAATTGATTTATTCTGAACACATACTAGCTTTGCCCATATCCCCTCTATTGAAAATATATTTACTTGTTAAGCTATGAAAATAAGAATCTTCTTAATGATTTCTGAATTTGATAAACAGTTATTTAAAACACATTTTTAAAAAGGGTCTTATAACTGATCTCCCTGCTTCCAGATGTGTTTCTATTAAATTCAGTGTCCACACAGAAACTGGAGTCATCTATATAAACTGCATTCTCTTCTATTGGTTCAGTTCTTTGGATAAGCAGATGCCAAAACAGAATTATATGTGAAAAAGAATTATAGAGGGGCTTGCCTATGAAGAAAGAGCTGCAGAAGGCAGCGTGAGCCTTCAGACTGAGATAGGCCTAACATCTGTCAAAGGAGAGGAGGAAGGGCAAATGAGTAGGAAAAGTCTCAGGCTTCAGCACTGCAAAAAAGCAAACAAAATAAAAAGAATGCATTCAATATAATAAAAGTTATGTTAGTTTCAGGTTTTACTCTCATAAAACAAACTGCTAAAATATTCAGAAGTATTATCTACAGAGTTCTAAGACAAAAGTACTTTGTTTAAACTGAGAATTAGTAAAAAATATATGTATTGGTCAAGGTTTGTTTGGGAAAAGGAAAAGTCACGGTGGCACTTTCAACAGAGAATTTTACATAAAGAGTTGTTGGGTATTGGGAGGGCTGTGATAGCATTGTAGTCTGTTTGGACTGCTATAATAAACCACCATAGACTGGGTGGCTAATAAACAACAGAAATTTATTTCTTCTAGTTCTAGATTTCTTCTAGTTCTAGAACTAGTTCTTATAAGTCTAGATCAATGTGACAGTGATTTCAGCGTCTGATGAGGGCTCACTCTTTTGGTTTATAGATGGCACCTTCTCTCTGTCTTCACATGGCGGAAGGGGCAAGGCAGCTCCGTTGGCCTCTTTCATAAGGGCACTAATCTCATTCATGAGGGCAGAGCACTCACGACCTGATCACTTCCCAAGTCCCCACTTGCTGATACTATCACACTGGGGATTAGGTTTAACACATGAATTTGGGGGACACAAAGACTCAGACCATAGCAGATAGTAAAAAGGAGAAGAAAAGAGGGTTGGAGGAATAAAGATACAAAAGAAGTGATACTAAGAGATCAGAAGCTGGTAAGACCCTTGGGCTGGAGACAATGGCACTGCCTTTTCTGCTGCCTGTTGGAGACGATGCTGCAGTTGATTCTGTATCTGCCAAAAGTGTGCTGCCTGGACCAGGGTGAAACCAAGGAAAAGGTGCTATCTGTGCCCACTCTGCCGGAGTCTGGAGTCAACCCACCCCTGCTGCTAATACAGCTACTGACAGTAATAGCCAGTAAGTGCCACACTGTTGAACCCCAAAGGAGGAAACTTTGCTATTCATGCTGTCTTCTTACCTCCCACTAGTACCTTCTATTAGTAGAACTCATGAGGAAGATTGCTAGCAAAGAAGATCCAGAAACAGCTTGCAGACTTCTAGCCTTCTTTAATACTCAAAAAGTCACACAGGAGTACAAATAGGAGCTGAGAACAAATAGGCAAATGACTGCCATAGTATATGTGCCAGTCTATAATGAACTCAAGAATATGGAGGTTATAGTATAAAATGGAAGTGAGAATTTAAACTACATATAGAATTTCTAGTTTTATTTAATTGTGGTAAGGTTTTCCCTCATAGTCTTATTGTGAAAATAAGGAGATTTTTTTGTGCTTTAGCATAGGAATTCTTATATATTTTTAAAAGAACTAGTACCTTGTGCCTCCAGAGTATAAAGGGTACAAATAATACACACACATTTATTTATCCTTAATATCCTTATTGCCTTTATTAACTATTTTTTTTCTTTGTTCAAACTCCCCCTTCAAGTAAGCAGAAAGATAAATCACTACTTTCAAAGAAAATTCTGGTCAATTGGACTAGACAGGAGGAATGGAAAGGCATTGACCATGGGCTATAGGGCTTATAGTCTTAGAAGATCTATCAATGAAATATCAGCCTCCTCTTGATGTCCTGAGTATCCTCCTCTTTGCCGCACCTGGATTTTCAGCCATGGTTGCAACAGTTCCTTGAACCTCTCACTCACCTTCTGCTGACAGTGTCATGTTCAAATGATGACCTAATGTCTGCATGTCTTTCTCTTTCTGCCCAGCTTCTCTCATTTCACAGAAGCTAGAAGGAGCAACTCACCTGTTAAACCAGGAAGTCCCAAGAAGTTAATGCCTTCAGGAACATCTCCTAATCAATACTAGACAGAAGCTAATATATAAATAATTCTCTTGGTTTATCCTGTGTAACTCTATTGCAAAAGTTGTTTTCTATGCTCCCCAGAAAGTTCTGAGTAGCATTGAGCAACATTTGCCCTCCATGGGCTTCTAAACAGCAAACCTGTATGTTGTCTTTTCTCTTTATTCTGCCTCAATTCTACTGCTTAAAATTACTTCCTCCTACATAAACTACCTGCACACAGGTCCTTATTTTAGGTTTTCTTTTCCGAGGAAATTAAAGCTAAATTTCAAGGCAAATTCATAACAGAGATCCTACTAAGACCTGTTTTGAGAAATCTGAGCGAAAGGAAAAAATGTCTCATGAGACCCTGAGGTAGAAACCCAAAGGCATTAGTTGATTTGGACTACGAGAGAGGAATTGGAGCCTGGCAGAGCTTTTTCAGGTTTCCTGCCACCTTTCACAGTGGAAATGAGAGCAGCTGTGTTCGGAAAATGCTGCCATTCACTTCACTCTGCATGCTTGCTTCTCTTCCATCCACTAAAGTCTTGATCTATTATCCTGAAAGTAAAACACTAATATACATACACCAGCACACACACACACACACACACACCCATCTATCTAGCACCTGTCTACCTACCTATCTGCTGTTTATCATTTATCTATATTTTTATCTATAAACACATAGTATATATAATATGTAACATATAGTATGTACTTATATGTATGTATATTCTTTTTGCTAGGTAATTTTTACGTTTAATATTCCACTTAGTAAATTTCAATCTAACATTTAGACTGAGCAGCATCAACTCTTTTCCTCCATGGTGGTTACCCTCCTATTCATATAACTTTATGACTTTGGTTGACTTTTAAAATTACCAGTTTTTTTTTAATCTGCCTTTTTTTTCTTTCCTGAGCTCTAATTTTGATACAATTTTTAAGTTATCCAAAACACTCCTTTAAGAAATTATTATGAACAGTAATTTCTTAGACTTTGCAAAAACTTGAGGTTTGTTCCTACTTTCTTTGTACACAAAAAGCAGCTTATTTAATAATGTAATTTTGAAGTAATAAAAAGTTTTTTAAACTATATTAAGCTATTTGTTGCAGAAGAGAAATCTGAGACCAAAGTGGTTTTAATTACTTTGTTAAAAATATACTTGGCTCCCTACCTATCCATACACCAGTACCACCACTGCTCAATCCTAGCTTAGATGTTATTTTTTTAATTAATTAAAATCCAATTCATTCATTCAACAGACATTTATTGCATATGTACTACATATCAGACAGTATTTTAGGTGGTGGGCATAGAGCAATGAACCAAAACGCAAAAATTTCAGCTTTCTGGAACTTAAATTCTAGTAGAGAAAAAAGGACTATATATAAGATAGGTAAATATTTATATTTTAGACAGTGGTAGGTACTATGGATTCACTTTTTAAATTTAAATTACTCACCAGGATATTTCCAAGTATAACATAAGTCTCCTTTCATTAATCTATCTTTCACATCTTTTTTCCATTTTAAGCCTAGAATCTTTTCTATACTCTAGAAACTCTAATCTATTATATTCTCTAACTTTAAATTTCTGTTTACTTTTTTTAATTTTACAAATATTTTTCAAGAATGTCCTTTGAATTACTTGTTTTATTTTCTGCATTATCAATTATCAACTTTCAGATCCCACCAGTGATTTATTTGTATTCGTTCTCATATGATCTTAATGTTTTCATTTTTAATAAGAGAAACTCATTTATCCACTCAAAAATATTTAAATTTATTGTGTGCCAGGTGATAGAGAATAAAAGATGAAAATACTGTGAGTAATATCTGCTTATATTGAGAATACAAATAAACATTTTTAAAGCAATTTTCCTTTTCTATGATGGTCTAAATCTAACAATGAGGAGAATTTACACTTTTGTACTGCAGATTTCTTTTTTATAAGTTATACATTGACATTTTCTGTTTAATTATCTTGAACAAAAAGATTTCTATTTAGCCCACGGGTTTGAGGACAGCCAGGATGTAAGGAATAAACTCAGTTCTGCACAATAGGCCAGATACTGGCAGCCTACTCAAATGTTCATTGAAACTGGAATACAGATTAGAGCTTCGAGTTGTTGGCCTTGGCTCAATTATATTTATTCACTCCTTTGTTCGTTTCCTTTATTTGTTGGTTTATTTGTTCATCCAACCAATTTTTATAAAGGAGTCCAATTTGAAGAACAAGAAGAGCCACTAACAGCTTATCAAGTTTATTGGGGGACTTTGAAGTACATGGAACATGGGAACTAGTGGAAACTTTGGGCAGAACATTGTGCTTGCATGTTTACCTTTAAAAATGGACATTCACCGAGAGGAAATGTGTGGTGCCTGGCATGGAAGTAGGTACGACTTGAATCTGCTCTGCTCAAATGGTCTACTTGATGAAAGAGTTAAGTGAGAAAAATAAAGGTGGCTCTAAACTAAGGTTCTGAGTTCTGACTCATTAAAAAATTGATTGGAAAAATTCCTTCCGGAACTGGAATATGGGTTTCTCATTTCATAGTGGGATTACATTGAATATGGCTTTTTTCAGATGCTTTCATAATTATGTTAGGATTCTATAGATTGTTGGGCCTTCAAATCCCTAAACGAGAAATTTCCCATAGTGTAAAGTGTGAGGCTCCAAATTATTTTTTCATAATTTTATCATGAAAAATGTCAAATATGAGGTAACATTGAAAGACTTTTATAGTAAACACAATAAACTTTGTTGTATGTTTGAAATAAACATTTTACTACACTTGTATTTATCATATACATAGATATTAATCCACCCATGTATTCAACATTTTATCTTACTTCTTAAAAAATTATAGATATCAGTACATTTCTCCCTAATCATTTCAGCATCCATTGCATTAATTAGTGTTCAATATTTTTGCACTTTTAATGTAAAATTTATATAAACTATGCACAAATATTGTGTATATTTGGTAGATTTTGATTAATTCTGTGTAACTCAAGTCTTTATCAAGATATAGAATATTATCATCACAGAGTTCTTCCATGGACTTTTCAGTCAATTTTTCCCATAATGCCCTCAGAGCCAAAAATTGTTCTTTTTATTTTTTAGAAACAGAGTTTTGCTCTGTTGCCCAGGCTGTAGTGTGGTAGCACAGCCTTGAACTCCTGAGCAAAAGAGATATTTCTTCTTTAGCGTCCTAAGTAGCTGGGACTACAGGCACATGCCACCATGCCCAGCTAATTTATCATTATTTATTTATTTTTTGTAGAGACGGGGTCTCCCTATGTTGCCCGGGCTAGTCTCAAACTCCTGGCCTCAAGCGATCCTCCTGCATCAGCCTCCCAAAGTGCTGGGATTACAGGTGTGAGCCGTTGTGTCCAGCTTCAAAATGTTTCTTATGTTTTTCCATCACAAGTTAGTTTTCTTTGTTTTAGAAGTCCATATTAGTGAATCCAAACAGAATGTACTCCTTTGTGTAAAGCATCTTACTCAGCATAATATCTTTGATATTCATCCATCTATGTGTTTTAATAGTTTGTTCCTTTTATTGCTGAATAATATAATAGTGTATAAATATACAACAGTTGATTTATCCTATTTATGGAGATCTGATTGTTTTTAACTTTTGACCCTTTTGAATAAATTTAAAATTTGATTGAATAATATTTTGTTAAGTATTTTTACATACATGCCCATGAAGTATATTGATCTGTAAATATCCTTTTTTGTACTGTCCTTGTCAAATATCAGTATTAGAATTATACTGGCTTTGTAAAATGAGTTAACAAGTATTCCTTCTTTCTCTAATTTCTGTAAACCTTTGTATAAATTTTGTACTATTTCTCCTTATATATTTGATAGAATTCACAAATAAAACCATCAAGACCTGGAGTTTTCTTCATGGCAAGGCTTTTGATAATTGATTTGATTTATTTATTAGACATAGGGTTATTCAGATTTCAATATCCTTTTATGTCAGTTTGGTAAGCTGTCTCCCCACCACCTCTCCAGGATTTTTCTATTTCATCTAAGTTATCAAATTTGTTGGGTAAATTCCATCATAAGATTGTTTTATTATTTTTTTAATGTCTCTAGGATCTATAGTGATGATAATATTTTCACTCTTCTTATTGGTAATTTGTATTGTTTATCTTTTTCTTAGTCAGGCTAAATATATGCTTATTTTGTTAATCTTTTCAAAGATTCAACTTTTAGCTTTATTAATTTTTCTATTGCTTATCTGTTTTCTATTTCATTAATTTCTGCTGTTATCTTGATTATGTCCTTCCTTTTGTTTACTTTAAATTTAATTTACTCTTCTCTTAAGTTTCTTAAGGTGGATTCTACATTATTCATTTTAGATTTCCTTCTTTTCTAATATAAGCATTTTAAGCTATATATTTTACTTTAAGTGCTGTTTTAGCTGTATCACACACATTTTGATATTATAAATTTTTATTATTGATTTGTTCCCTAATTTCCCCTGTAATTTTTTTCTTTGATGCATGGATTATTTAAGGCTGTTTTCTAACTTTCAAATATTTGGAGTTTTTCCCTAGATGTATTATTTTTATTACTTTTTAATTTAATTCCATTGTGATCAGAGAATATCTTTTGTATAATTTCAATTCTCTTGAAATATTTTGTGGCTTGATTCATGGCTCAATATATGATCTATCATCTCAAACATTTAATTTGCACTTCAATCCTTGATTATATTATTGTTGGATATAATGTTAAAAAATATCAATTAGACCAAGATGTTGAAAGTGTTGTTCAGATCATCTTTATTTTTATTGAATTTTTGACTAATCATTGCATCAGTTACTAAGAGAGGGGTGTTAAAATTCTCTAGCATCATTTTTGGAGTTGTCTATTTCTCCCTTTAAATATGTTTATTCTGCTTCCTGTATTTTACAGTCCTGTTATTAGGATTATACACATTAATGATTGATATGATTAGTTCCTCAGATGATTCAATCCTTTAATCATTATATTTCCCTCTTTATTTACTATAGTGTATTTTGTCTTGAAGTTTTTATCTTATGTTAGTGTAACAACTCTAGCCTTGTTATGCTTGCTGTTCATTTGATATATCCTTTTTATCATTTACTTTCAACCCATCTGTGTCTTTACATTAAAAGTGAAAGTCTTGAAGATAGCAAATGAATATATTTTGATAATGTCTTATTTTTAATAGGAGAGTTTAATGACTAATATTATTGTTGATAGAGTTGGATTTAGTTGCCCTATTTTATAATATATTTTTTGCTTGAACCGTCTATATTTAATTCCGCTGGCCCTATTTTTTTGGTCCTCTTGAATTTTATAATATTTTTAGGATTCTATTTTATCTGTTGGCTTTTGTGGTATACTTCTTTGGATTATTTTTAGTAGTTTTTGGATAGGTTAAAATATATATCTTTAGTTTTTCACAACAAACTTAGAATTGATATTGTGCCATTTCAAATAAAATTCAGAATATTTGCAGTTGTCAGGTCGATATACTGGAACATATATAAGTCCATATACTGCTTCCCATGCCCACCTTTATCCTATTGTGGACATAAATTTTGCTTTTAGATACATTCTAAATGCCATGAGACAATGCTATAATTTTTGCTTTAAATATTCATATGAATTTTAAAGAAATTAAGGGAAAAGTTCATTTATCTTTAACATATTTTTGTTGTATTTAATGCTCTTCAATTTTTTCTGAGGAATTGAGAAAGAATAGTATTATTTCTCTTCAGCCTCAGAACTTCCTTTGGCAATTCTTTAAATTTATGTCTGCTAGCAGCAGATTCTCTTATATTCTTTTCATCTGAAAATGTATTCTCCCTACATTCTGGAAGAATATTTTTGCTGGATGTAGAATTTTTGGTTGACATTTTTTCTTTGTTTGACTTTTTGCTTTCAGCATCTTAATGATACTTTCTCCACTGTCTTCTGTGTTCCAAGGTTTCTGATAAATAACAGCCCAATGATTTATTTTCCCCTATGTCTATATAATGTTCCATCTCTCTTCAGTTGCATTCAAAATTTTTCTATTTTTCTTTTTTTTTTTTTAATGCTTATATCTACTATACCCAGTTATGACTCTCTTTGTATTTATCCTACTTGGGGATTGCTGAGATTTTCAAATCTTTAAATTTATGGTTATTTTTATAAAGTTTTGAAAAATTTTAGCCATTATTTCTTCTATGTTCTGTTACATTCTCTCCCTTTTCTTCTGAGACTCTAATTACATTTACAAGTAGATCTTTTAATATTATTCCATAGGCTAATAAACCTCTGTTTATTTCTTTTTCTCTCTCTCTGTTTTTAATTTCAGAATAGTACAAGGGTACAAATGCTTTGGCTACATATAGTGCCTTTGCACTGCCTGAGTCAGAGCTACAAGCATGCCCATCTCCCAGACAGCACACACTGCACCGCACCTGTTAGGTCTAAATTTACCCATCCCCTTACCCTCCAACTGTCTGACACTCAATGAATGTTACTTATATATGTGCCAATAAGTGTTGATCAATTAGTATTAATTTAATGGTGAGTACATGTAGTGCTTGTTTTTCCATTATTGTGATACTTCACTTAGAAGAATGGGCTCAAGCTCCATCCATGATAATACAAGAAGTAGTTCACCATTTTTTATTCCATACATATACTATATTTAATTAATCCATTTGTGTATTGATGGACACTTGGGTTGTTTCCACATCTTTGCAATTGTGAATTGTGTTACTGTAAACACTCAAGTGCAGATGTCTTTATTATAAAATGTCTCTTTTTCCTTTGGGTAAATAACCAGTATTAGGATTGCTGGATCAAATGACAATTCTATTTTTAGTTCTTTGAGGTATCTCCATATTACTTTCCATAGAGGTTCTACTTGTTTGAAGTCCCACCAGCAGTGTATGAGTGTTCCTATCTCTCCACATCCACATCAAAACTTGTTGTTTTGGGACTTTCTGATAAAAGTCATTCTCACTGGGGTTAAGTGATATCTCATTGTGGCTTTTATTTGCATTTCCCCTGACAATTAGAGATGTTGAGCAATTTTTCACATGTTTCTTGGCCATTAGTCTGTCTTCTTTTAGGGACAGAAATTGTTTCATTTTCTTTTGCTTTTTCTGATCTTTATTTTTTTCTATTCCTCAGATTGGATAGTTCACCTTGATCTGTCTTCAATTTCACTGGATATTTTTTCTATCTTCTCTGTTTTTCTGTTAAATATATATAGTGCATTTTACATATTAAACATACAAGTCAGATATTTTCAGTTCTTGAACTTTGTCTTTTCTTCCATTGTTTATATTACTCTGTTGAGATTTTCTATCTTTTCATTCATTGCAACTATATTTATATTTATTGTTTTAAAAGTGAGCAGAAGCATACTAACTGGTTTAAAATCATTCTCTTAATCCCATACCTATGTCATTTCCAGTTTGGTCAATGTTGGTTGGCCTTTGGCCAAAAGAACGAAGAAAAAAATCCCCTTTGGTTTTAAGGTGGGGAAATTTGGACTATATTCTAGACATTTTGTTGCTATGTTGTGGAGACCCTGGACTCTTTTTTACTCCTTTGAAGAGTGCTGATATTTTCATGTTAGCAGACAATCAAATGGATTATATTGAAATTACAGATGCTGTTTCTTGAGAAGCAGCTAAAATATCAGTTAAGGGGTTTTTGTTTTTGATTTTATGTGTTTATTTATTTGTTTTAATCTTTATATGTATTGCTTTGAGCTTGTCTCATGTATGCATAGTTCAGGAGTTAGCTGGAAATTTGAGCTGTATTTACCACAGAACTTCATGCTTCTCTAGCCTGCTGCCTCTCTCTGCTTTCTAATATTTCCCCCTCATTCCAGAGCAGCTGTGGTTTCCCTGAACTTGATCCCCTGGATCTTCAGGACAGAGAAAGTGTGAGTATTTTATTCAACTTTAGTTTGTTCTCAAGCTATAATCCATAAAACAGAAAATTCACTGCATGCACATCACATTTTCTAGTTTTATAGTCCACTCTACCATCTGTTCACTTTTGTTCCCATTTTTTAAAGTTGGTGTTTTTTCTATTTGTCTAGTGTTGTTGAAACATTTTGGAATGTCAGTTTAATAGGAGCTTGATTAGCCTTCTAGGAACCAGAGCTTACTTTAAGCTATTTTGAGCTTACGTGCCATCAATTTAAAAAAAATGATGAGCTGGCTGGGCACAGTGGTGCATGGCTATAGTCCCAACTACTTGGTAGGCTGAGGTGGAGGATTGTTTGAGCCCAGAAATTTGAGGCATGAGTACATTATGACCGCACCTGTGAATAGCCAGTGCACTACACCCTGGGCACCATAGTAAGATCCTCATTTCTTAAAAAAAAATAGAAGAAAACAAGTACTCCAATAACTTTATGACAATTTTATTGAGATAAAATTTACATACTATAAAATTCACTCTTTAAAGTATACAATTCAGTATTAGCATATTCACTGTTATACCTCAATCACTACTATATAATTTTAGTACATTTTCATCACCCTAAAAAGACACTTTGTGCCCTTAGCAGTCATTCTCCATTCACCCTCACTTTAGTCCCTAGGAATCACTAAACTACTTTCTGACTATATGCATTTACCTATATGGAATACTTCATATAATATTATAATGTAATAATAGAATATGTACTCTTTTGTGACTGGCTTCTTCTACTTATCATAAAGTTTTCAAAGTTCATCTATGTTGTCATGTATCAGTACTTCATCCTTTATTCATTGCCAAATAGTATTCCATTGCATAGATATACCACATTTTGTCTATCTATAAGTTGATGGATATTTGTTTATTTCCTAGTGTTTTGCTGTTATGGTAATACTTCTATAAATATCCCTGTACAAAGTTTTATGTGGACAGGTGTTTTCATTTCTCTTGGTATATACCTAGGTGTGAGATGGCTAGGTCATATGTTAACTCTTTGTTTAACTCTGAGAAGAGCTGTCAGACTTTTCCTAAGGATTCACCATTTTACATTCTCACCAGGAATGTATTAAGGTTTCAGTTTCTTCACATACACTTGTTATTATCTGTCCTTTTGATTATTGCCATCCTAGTGGGTGTGAAATAGTATCACATTGTGGTTTTGATTTGTATTTCTCTGCTGACTAGAAATGTTAAGGATCTTTCTTTGTGCTTATTGACCATTAATATATCTTTTGAGAAATGCATATTCAAATCATTTGCCCATTTGAAAATTGGAATATTTTTTATTTTTATAGTTGAGTTAAGAGAGTTCTTTATATATCCTGAGCTCACATTCTTACCAGATAAGTAATTTGCAAATATTTCCCCCCCCCTTTCTGTGGGCTGTCTTTTCATTTATTAGTGGTGTCTTTTAAAGAATAAAAGATTTTAAATTTTGGTGAAGTTAAATTTATGCATTTTTTTCTTTTGATACTCGTGCTTTTGGTGTCACATTTAAGAAACCATTACCTAATAAATGTCAATGAAAAATTACTCCCATGCTTTCTTCTGAGAGTCTTATAGTTTTAGTTCTTATATTTTAGGATATGATACATTTTGAATTAATTTCTGCATAGAGTGTGAAGTAGGGGTTCAACTCCATTTTTTTTTTTTTTTGCATTAGATTATCCAGTAGTTCCAATGCCATTTATTGAAATGACTTCTTTTCCCCATTGAATTGTCTTGGAACCCTTGTGAAAAAGCAACTTACCATAAATGTAGAGATTTGCTTCTGCACTTTCAGTTCTATTTCATTGATGTATCTGTCTATTCTTATGCCAGTACTACACTATCTTGATTACTATAGATTTGTAGTAAGTTTTAAAATTGAGAAGTTTAAGTCCTCCAATTTTTTTCTTTATTTGAAGATTATTTTGGTTATTTGGGGTCCCTGGCATTTCCATATAAATTCAGGATAAGCTTCTTAATTGTTGCATAAAAACCAATGGGAATTTTGATAACAGTTGCATTGAATTTATAGGCTAATTTAGGGAATATTGCCATATTAATAGTATTGTCTTCAAATTCATCATCATGAGATGGCTTTCCATTTATTCTGGTCATCTTTAACATTTTTAATCAATGTTTTATAGTTTTTGCCCACAAGTCTTGCATTTCTTCTGTTGAATTTATTCCTGTGCCTTGTATTCTTTTTAATGATATTGTAAATGGAATTGCTTTCTTAATTTTATTTTCAGGTTATTCATTGCTCACGTATGGAAACATAATTGATTTTTTAAGATTGGTTTTTAATCCTCAAACTGTGCTGAATTAATTTGTTAATTCTGATAGATTATGAATTCTTCAGGATTTCTGAAATCTAATATAATATTGAAGTAGTCATTATTTTTTCTAATGCAAATAACTTTTATTTCTTTTTATTGCCAATATTCCTGGCTAGTGCCTCCAATGCAATCTTAGGCAAAAGAGATCAAAGGGGGCATCCTTGTCTTATTTCTGATCTCAGGAGGGAAAGCTTTCAGTCTTTCACCCATGAAGTATGATGTCAGCTGTGAGTTTTTCATAGATGTTTTTTACCAGGTTGAGGAAACTTTCTTCTATTTTTAGTTTGTTTAATATTTGTTTCATGAAAGTTTGTGGATTTTGTCAAAATTTTTTTCATGTTTATTTAGATTATCATGTGATGTCTATTTAGATGATCATGTAATTTATGTCATATTGTTACAGTATTATATATTATACTAATTTATAGGGGATGTTAAATCAATGTTCATTTCTATAATAATTCAAATTGGTCATAGCAATTAATCCTTTTGATATGGGACTATATATTCCTAGTATTTATATGTTGTTGCCATTTTATTGAGGATTTTTGCATCTGTATACTTAGGGAATTGGTTTGTTGTTTTCTTATAATGTCTTTATGTAGTCTGAGGATCAATTTAATGTCTACTTCAAAAACTAAGCTCAAAATATCCTTCTATTTTTGGAAGCATTCATAGGGAATTGCTATTAATGCTTCTTTAAAAGTTTAATAAGATTTATCAGTGAATCCATCTAGGCCTTTGCTTTTTGTTGTAAGAAGTTTAAAAATTACTAATTTAATCTTTTTTCTTATTATAGGTCTGTTAAGATTTTTCTACTTCTTTTTGAGTTAGATTTAGTAAAATATGTCTTTCTAGGAATTTTTCTATCTCATCTACAGTACCAAATTCATTGGCATACAGTTGTTCATAATATTACTCTATAATACTCTTTATTTCTGTAAGGTTGCTAGTTATATTTCTCCTTTTGTAACTGATGTTAGTAATTTGAGTCATTTCTCTTTTTCTCTTGGTCAGCCTAACTACAGGTTTGTCAATATTTTTGAACTTTTCAAGGACAAACTTTTAGTTTCATTGATTATATGTATTGTTTTTCTATTCTTTATTTCATTTATTTTAGCTCCAGTCTTTATTATTTTCATTCTCTGCTTATTTTGAGTTTAATTTGCACTTCTCTTTCTGGTTTTTTATAAGGTGGAAGTTTAGATTATTGACTTGAGATCATTCTTCTTTTTTAACATAGTAAGTTATTATAGTTGTAAGACTCCCTATGAACACCATTTTTTTTCATTCATCCAAAAAATATTTTCTACTTTCCTTTGTGGTTTTGTCTTTTATCTATTGATTACTTAGGAGTAATGAAGTGCCATACTACTTTTTAGTTTAATTTTATTTTGTTCTTTGAATGATATTTGGCTTAAAGTCTTTGTCTTGTAAGTCTAATATCTAGGTTTTTTATGGAACAGCTTTTATTGGCTGCTTTATTTCCTGTGTATTGAATACACTTTCTTATTTCTTCATGTATCTTGCAATTTTTGCTGAAACCTGGACATTTAAAATAATATAAAGTAGCAACTCTGGGAATTAGATCTCTGACCTCCTTCCCAGGGTTCATTGTTGTTGTTACTTTTGCTGTTTATTTGTTTGTTTAGTGACTTTCCTGGATGAATTTTGTGATATTTTTATTCTTTGTTGTGTGCAGCCACTGACGTCTTATCACCATTCAGTTATTTTAGGAGTTAGGTAATGATTAGAAAGAGATTTTCTTAAATGCCTTGAGTCAATAAGTCTCTCCCACTTTGCAGAGAGGCCCAGTATGTGAGTTGGAGTATATTTTTAATTGTCTCGCCATTTACATCCATGCCTTCGCCCTCATTTCGTGCTTGCACAGAGACTCAAGTTGGACATGGATAAGATACTGTAGCCTTCTCAAGTCTTTTCTTCACATGTACACAGGCCTTCTAGATTCCTACAAACATGTTAGAGCTTTTCACAGCTCCCTATGGAGATCTATTGTCCTTATTTTCCTTTTAATTTTTTTGACCTGTTGATTATCCCAACTGGCATTGCCACTCTAGGCAGCTATGATATTTAGCAATTGCCTCTAATTTTTTTTTTTTTTTTTTTTTCAATTTCATTTTGAGGCTTGGAAAATCACAAAATAAAAATAGCCCTGAGAGTGGAAAGTTTGGGGGAGTTTTTTAGTCAAATGCCTTGTGCATACAATCTTACTCACCCAGTAAGCTTCAAGTTAGGTGAAATAAAGATAAGGCCCTGATGGGATTTTTTTCAGGTAGCTCCAAGCTCACTTATATAATGAGAATTATCTGGGGATGAAGCTTTTAGAGGCGCTCCAAACTCACTCTACTTCCTCCAGTGGCTGCTAAACTACTCTCTTTCATGGTTACTATGGTTCCAACCCTGTTGACTTTCAAAGCTATTACAGAGCTGGGAGGAAGAAAATGAAAATAGAACAAGTTAAATTGCCACAAAACTGAATATTCTTACTGGCATTCAACCATTTTTCTTGAATAAACTCTCCTTGGATTGCAAGCCTTTGATTAATTTCTAGAGCTCTTAAGAAGATGATTTTGACAATTGTTTACAAGTGTCCTCATTGATTTTATGGAGGGATAGATTTTTGGAAATCCTTATTTTGTCAACCCCGCATTCCAATAAATTAAATACTTAATTTGTAAATATTTGCTTTACTATAGTACTGGTACTTTAAGTATATCATAAAGTATTTGTAAATAGACACTTAAAACATATGTGAAAAGTAAATGTAAATAAAAGTTCTAATAGCCCTTATTATACTTCAACAGATCATCTTCCTGGGATATGAGCTTCCCACAGTGAAGTCTTTCATCAAATTTCATTTCTGGTATAATTGACATTCCAAAATGGTTTACTAGAGTTTTAAGTTTTATTGACCATGAATTATGATAATAAGTGTAATTATCAGTCTGTTTTAAAAGCTTTTAATTTAAGTTTTATAAGAAGTATGTTTAAAACTTCAAACATCAGAGGTAATTCAGGAATTCTATATTTTTCACCGAAAGGCAATAATAAGCACAATACTCCGTGGATGTTTTGGCCCTCATGGAGTAAAACAGGAATTGGCATTCTACAGTATAGGGGCTAAATCCAGCCACCTGGGGGACAAGTCTGGCCAAGCTCACTTTTTTAAGCATCTACTCAAAGACCTAGTTGAGTAGTCACAACAGAGACTGTATGACCCACCAAGCCCAAAATGTTTGCCATCTGGCCCTTCCTAAAAAATGTTTTATCACTCACAGTATAGAGTGAGACTCACAGTTTGCACTGGACTTTAGTGGTTCTCAAACTTTGGGATGGATCCAAATCATTAACCTTATGTGTAAACATGTATAGATTTCTAGGTCCTACCCCAGAAATCATAACATCAATGAGTTACTTGCTTTCTGATTTTCAGTTGAGTTTGGTCATGGAGAGTGCTTATAGGAGACTGGAGGTGGGTATAAAAGTGAGGTCAGAGTGCTTATGTCCCTTACTCCTTCCCTGCAACTATTCTCTCAGTTCGGTGGCTTTCCATACTCCCTTCTGTGTATTCATGGTCTCATAATGAGTCTCTTCCATCACACTTTCAGGTGCAGAGGGAGTAGGTGGGCACTTATTATAAGCCTTGGAGTATTTAACAATAATTTGTGGTTTTCTTAAACCATACCCACACCTTTGTAAATAATTCCTTATTCAACTCTCCTAAATTATGTTCATTTTCGTGCGCCTTCCCTTTCCACTGGAAATCCTTTCTCCATATTAAACTCCTTATCTTCAAAAATATTATCTTTCTCTCTCTGTTTCATGTCACCTTGAAATTCAGTAATGCCATCTTCTTTTTTTTTTTTTTTACTCAAGTCATTACTAAAATCGTAAACAGTTCAGGGTTAAAAATAATGCTTGTTGACAATTACTAAAACACTCTCTTCTGGTTGATTTGATCCATTTATAACATCCTTTAATGTTATTTAACCAGTTACTAATCTACTGAGAAAGTTTTTGGTCTTCATGCCTGTATTTTGGCCGTTCTTTCTTTTCTACACCTTCTGATTCCTCTGAAGTTCCTTCCATATTCACAGGAAGTATAAGATTTCAGTGGTTATACCTATATAGCCTCTCTCACAAATTCAGATATACTTGCCAAAAGTAGTCTGATAGAGGATTTCAGTGTTTTCAGTCTTGGCTTCCCTTTCAAGCATCTTGTAGGAGGGCTCTATGTGGATGCTCTTATAACACTTGCCTTTTTACACTTGATCACACCTCTTGGTTGACATTAAGGTACATCAGCATCCTAATAACAGAACTTACTTGAATTTCCCCCTTTCTGCCAGACGGCATCGCACTGAGCACCCAGAGCCACAGAATTAAGATTGGAGGTGTCTGGTGAAGCAAGCCCATTTGACATGACAGCATGCTATATATTATGTAAACTACATAATATCTTTTATTTGCAAAGTTCTCTATATCTTGATTAGGAATAAGTATAAGCAAAGACAGGTTTTTCAAAATTTCTCCATATATAATTTGCTCATAATTGCTTTTATGGAATTGCTCATCAGATATCTGTCATTAAATCTTCTCCAGAGAACACAATGCAAATGATCAAAAATAAATTGCTGTTATTATTGTGTGTGTATAAGGCTACTGTTCTTATTTGAATAATTATTTCAAGCTCCTAAGTATAATATTTTAATGAATCAAAGCTAACTTGAATTCTAATATCTCTGTATGAGAAGGACATTGATAGTAGGAAGGAGAGAAAAAAACATGTAGAGAGATTTCAACTTATAATTTTGAATCTTAAGCTCTTTGATTCTATGGAGGAGAACCAGGAAACATGTGCAGACTGATTTCACTGCTTGTGCTTCCTTCAAGGATTGGGAGAATATTAATAAGCTAATGAAGAAAGAGGTCAATAGGGGACCACAAGTAAATAGGACAGAATCTTTAATACTAACTATTGATTCCTCTACCTTTACTTGCTGGTGCCACAATGTGTTTACTTAGGAAATGAAAACATAGTGAACTATGGAACATCTTCTTTTCTCTTTGTTTTCTTAAATAATAATAGTGCTGATTATAATGATAAATATTTATTAATAGTGAGCACTTACTACAGGTAGCCAAAAGTCTAGAAACATAGGCAAATATGCATAATAAATGATTATTGGTATTGCATTACTATCATGATCTGTTTGATACCCTTACCTGACACATTCAGTGCCTTGATCCTCATCATGCTGGTTAGGATCACCCTCAAATAAGCTTTCTAAAATTTTCCCCACTTATGGTTGAAAGATATGTTGTTTGGGAATCTCTTGGAGAGGTCTGGTCTGTAAGGCACTTCCAATTCCTTGGTTGTTTGACAAGTTGATCTCTTTGGCTGGGGATGACCTTGGCTATGACTGTCACCTTCATCTTACTGGAAATAGATACTTGTTCACAAAAGAATTTGTCCAGTATACTGAATATATTCTTGAATTTTTGAACCAGCCTTCTGACTGTGCTATGGGAAATGGCAGCTGGTGCAAGTCGGCCTGCAGTGCAGGGCTCTGCTACCACTGTTACTATCAGCTCTTCCATTCAGTTTTCAGTGTCCACTCAATGCATTCATCTTTTATCAATCTGTAAACAATATACAATGATGGCATCCAGATTTCATGGACACTGTGTGTATATTGGGGAGTCTTCTAAGAATTTTTTATTTAATCCTCATAACAAATCTGAGTCAGCTTCTATTATTACTTTTGTTTCACAAAGGAAGACATGGAGGCACAGGGAGATTAAATAACTTGCCCAAGATCACGGAGGTGGTAAGTAGAAAATTATAGGTCTTGGGTTTGGGATAGACAAATAAATTAAAAGAAGAAAAGTGAGTGAGGCAATATTATGTTAACCATGAGAACACAAATATTTTGCTGTATATTTATATAATCTGATTAACTTAATATAACCTGCTTTCTGGCTTGGATATTAGAAGTCATACTTTTAAGAAATGTCAAAATGGTTTTCAGAGAGCTTTTCCGATATCCATACTTTGCCATGAAAGTGCTATGTGGTCTTTGACAAACTTTAGTATCTCTGTGCCTTCAAAAATTAGAGATGATTATTTTAGCTGTCTATCAGGTGAGATGCAGTTTGGAAATTTGAATGCAAACTGTTTTTTTAAAAATTTTCTTGGAAGAAAGTCATACTATAAAAGCAAATTTGGGCTATTATAATGAAAAATGTGTGAGTGTACATTAATTTCCCCCTTATGTTCTTATTGCCAGCAGATGGAGGTCGAAATTGAATTGCTGCTGACTGTTGTCCCTTGTTATGGCCTGTGGAGATATGACAATTGAGGAAGAACTTAGAGGAATGCCAAGTAGCAGAGCATGAAGCAGTGGGTGTGGCCCAGTGCCTTGGATGTTTTATGGCTGATAGCACTTGGCAAGAAAAAAATGCAGCCTCGATAGTAGCCTTGCAAATAGATTTCAATATGAACCATGTCCCCACACACAATGCTTTGATTTGCCCTTTTATATATGCATTTGTCAAAATCCACTCTTCTTATACTCACATACCACCTCACTGCTTCCCTTGCAAAATACCTAAATAACTAAATAAATCACACTTGAGGAAATTTCTTTGTTTTATTGCAAATTTGGGCACAGAAAGTAGAGGCAGGGCACATTAATCTTCTTGATCATCCTGCTTTTGATGATGGGCTTGTCCTGTTTTTTGTCTGTTTTTGTTTTGTTTTGTTTTTTTTTTGCTTGACCAGAGATATTTATTAATACCCGGGGAGTCCTTGGATGATCTTCCAGGGGTGTCTGGCCTGAGGGAACTGGAAGGACAGTATCTGTGCATGCTACAAAGGTCATTTTTTTTCTCCCAAGAGAGAATCTACAGTTTTTACAAGACTCTCAAAGGAGCTTAGGACTTCCAAAAGCTTATGAATTCCTGCTTTGGATCTTTGGTTAATGGGGCAGTGAAACTTTATATGTTTGCTTTCACGATTGAGACACAACATTTTATGCAAATGAGAACAAGGGAGTGGTGGAGAAAAACAGCTTGGAGGACATTATTACCTTTCCCAATCTTCATTTCTTGTCATGAATTATTAATCATGAGGTAACACTTCATCTGATGCTTTGAAAACTCTCCCCCTGGTAAGAATAGCCTAATTGAATTGGAAGAAGTGGAGCAGGAAGAGCTAAACGTGGACATTGATGGTTTCACCAAAAGTAATTATACACCCTACAGCCTTCTCCACCTGTTTGAAAACCCAAGGCCCACTAATTCTCATGCCACGAGGGAACAAATGGAAATGTAGAAGAAAAATTAAAATTGTTGAGCTTCAAACATATCTTTCTTGAGAGCGCCCCATTTGACAAAGGGGTGTTATGAGGAACTAAGGAGGAGAATGAGGGGTCTGGGCGAGGGTCTGATTTACTGCAGTTCAGAGTGGAAGCCAGTCCTGCTTCTCTGGAGTGCAATTTGACAGTGTAACAAAAACTCTAGTGCAAGCATACCTCTACCCAGTCATTCCAATTTTAGGAGGCTTATTTCAGCAATGCATATATATCTAAAAATTTGAAATAATTTATATGTGAAATAGAACATGAAGCAGTCATTAGAATTATGACACAAGCATTTTGACATGAAACAATTTTTTTATATATTTTGTCTTAAAAAAAGGTAATAAACCATTATGTATGTATACAGAATATAGTATAATCTCATGTGGATAAGAAATGTAATACTATGAGATTGGGCAATATGTGCCTCAAGGCACATTTTATATAAGCAGAATATAAACAGAAAAAACCTGACAGGACATACATTGAGTGATAAAAATGATCTCTAATGGCTAGTGCAATTGCAGTTAATTTAGTTTTGCTCATCTTTTCAAATTTTCTGCAATAAGCATGTACTATTCTTGTCATTAAATGTGCTAATAAAAGTTTAGACAATATCTTCTTTTGAAGATACAGAGTCCAGGTCTAAAATGGACAGTTGTACAGGCAAAAGGCCCTTGCCAACCCTCAAAGGTTGGGTTCTACCCACCAGAAACTGGAGCAGACAGAGGTGATGGAGAGTGTCCATTTCTCCCTCAAGATGATAAGGAGAAGCCAGTTCTGGGCTCCCTGGGTCTGAACCACTCCCTTTTGTCAACAGCCACAGGTTAAACCAGGTGAGTTTCAGCCAGCTTAGATAGTACATAAAATGGATTTTAAAGACATTTTAAAATAAAATAAAATAAAAAATCAGCCTAAACCCTGGCAGAATTTCCTACCTCTTGCCTCTAATATACTGACCTGTATTTTCCAAACTGTGCTAAAATTAGCCTGTGTCTTCTTCACAAAATGCAAACCCTTTCTGTCTTGGTTTCCACTGTGTGGTTTCCATTCTTATCAACACTCCATCAATAAGCATTGAATGAATTAATGATCAAATGAATGTATATGTGAAGACCATCAAGGAAAGATCCACTTAGCTCTGGGTTTCTCAAAAAACAAACAATGAAATCCAAGACCAGGAGACAGATATTTTTCCAAAGGTAATCAGAGTACAGCAGGCATCCCCAATGGGGAAAGGAATGATAAGTCAAAGTCATGCGTCGGGGGATCTGGAAGGGATAAGAAGGAGGAAAGGGGTGCTGCAAAAACCGAGCTGAAATGAAAAGGCAAAGATGGATTGTTGCAGTTATATTCTACCATTATAAATGACATTACTGTAGGAATGGAGGAACAAAGGTTGTTTAGTTTGCAGAGAAGTGGATTCCTGAATGGGTGAAAATTAAATCTGCTGGATGATTTGAGGTGGAGACAGCATACAGGATGATTTTAGCCACATAAACAAGAATGGCCTTGTGCAATGATTTCTATTCAACCCCCCTGGCTTCCTGGCCTAAGCTGATTATTATTAAGCATTTATGTGGCATTTCATATGTACAAGTACTTTACAATCATTTATTATTTATTCCTCACAACGTGAGAAAGCCACAAATCAAGGGCAGGGATAAAGTTAATACAATTTTATTAAACAAGAGGGGTGTGCCCAGCAGCAGGCTCAGCTACAACCAGGGAGTGTGACCTCGCTGGAGAGAAACAACATGACGATTACTTTTTTTTCCTTTTTGTGTTGCAATTTACACTTTTAATCAGTATTTAGTCAAGTGACCCTGCACACCTGGGAGAATTCCTGAGACTCTGGCAACCTGGAGTGCCAAAGCAGGAGAAAGCCTGCCTCTGAATCTGCCATTTCTCTTCTTTCTTCCTCCATCTCGCCCTGCCTTCCTCCGTGTCTTCGTTTTCTTCCTAGCTTTTATTTCCTACATTTCTTTCTCTTTTTCCCTTCTTCCCTTCATGCCCCACATCTCTCCTTTCATTTCTTCCTATTTCCTTCTCTCCTTTCCCTGTTTTTATGCTTTTTCCTCCTTGTCTCTTTCTTTTTCTGACTCTCCTCTCTCCTCCTTCTCTCTCTGCTTCTTTCTCTTCTGCTTTGTCTCTTTGTGTCTCTGCCTCTCTCTCAATCACGCCCACATCCACACACACACACACACACACACACACACACACATCACACAGGGAAAGAGACAGAATCTAATTGCTGAGAGATGCGGAAGGTCATTCCTCTGTGAAGCGGTGCTCCTTCACTGCCTTCTTCTGAGACCTGACACATGGAAAATTTTAACTCAATTTGTACAGGGAGAATAATGCCAGTGTTAATCCAAGTTGCTTGGAAGGTCATTTAAAAACCATTCCAGGTTGTTTTACTCCCACTGCTAGTGTTCTTCAGGCACTTCTCATAAATGCTAATGAATAATTCACCTTGGTAGTATAGACAAACACAGGCTGGGGATGTTATTTGGAAATCATTCAAACTGACTAATTAGTCATTTCCTTTAGATTTTATTTAACAAAGAGAAAGGGATTTTGAGATATTTGGTGAATCGTATATTATTACATTACCAAAATCTTAATAGCTCCTATTGGTTCTGGGAAGGGGCAGCCTAATTTAGTGAAAATGCCTAAATGGTTGCAAAGGTTAAAAATTATATACAAACTTACTGTATTCTAGACAGAATTTTATTAGACAGTAAACAAAAGTATCTTAGCTAGAGATTTTACTGGTCCAATTTTGGGGAATAGACAAGAATCATTTGTTAGTAATACATATATTGAAAACAAAGAACAGTAGATGAAGGGTCCCTCTAAAATCTCTTTAAATACTATTATCGGTCCACATTCACCTACTATGTGTCGGATATACTGTTCCACATGCTAGGGATAAAGGCGAGAACTGGCAGAAAAGGTCCTTGCTTTTGTGGAATTTAGATTGTAGTGGGGATGTTTTATAAAGACAGAAAAATAGCTGTTAGATGATAGATAGGTGATAGATGGATAGAACATAGATAGAAATGAAAGACAGATGATAGATAATAGACAGATGATAGAGAGATACATAGATGACAGACAGATGGGATGAATGGGTTTCACATAATGACAAATGCTAGGCAGAAAACAGAAAGAAAGTGACTGTGCATGTATTTTGAGATGTGTCAGATGTTATATTATTAGAGATGTTATATTAGAGAGGGGTCAGGAAAAGCCTTTAGGGAAGGTGACAGAGCAGAGGCCAGAATATTGAGGAGGAGCCAGCTCTGCAAGATCTGAGCTTGGGCATGGGAAGCAAGGCAGAAGAGCCTGAGGTGGGAACCAGCTCCATGTGCTGAAAGCCCAAGCAGCTCTAGCTTAGTGAATAAAAGGGTGATAGAAGAAAAGGGCAACATCTGGTTAGGGACCACATTATGCTGTATCTTCCCTTTGCTTATCAAACTCTTAGTAGTTAATAAAAGAAAAATTTCATCCCAGTGAAAGTTTCATCCCATCATCACAATTCTCAATTGCATATGAGCAAGATGAGTTTGTTGAGTTGTAACCAATGTGTCTCTCATCTGCACACATTCCATTTTAAACCTATAATCCTCTCCTATTTGAGTCAATAGATGCGAGTCTCCAAGGTACTAATAAAGAGAAAACTCAAGAGAACAAAGAAGTCACATTCTTGACTTTTCAATTTAGTGAAAGGCAGAAAATAACTGAAATGATATATAATAAAGCATGTTCTTGGATTTCCTCCTCTAAGATGACTGTAAGATCCTCCTCGTTGGGTAGACAGAAGATGTGTGCATTCTAATTGCCACCATTCCAACCCACGGCAAATCCACGGAGGGAAGATGAGTGCCTGGACCTGACCAGCTGCCGTCTTGGGGCTACAGGTGCTTTGCCAAGGCTCTTCCCATGCCTTACCCCTTCACAGGGAGTGAGGACTGCTCACTTCAAATTGATCCCAATCTCTGCTACTCTCAAGGATTGCTGGCCAATGGCCTGAGTTATAAGATATAAACTTTGGTAGGAATTATGGTTCAAGAGATATTTTGGAGCCAGATGAGGATGGATCTTGAACATAATGTTGTATGATGTATCCAGCCTTTGATTTGAGAGCATTTACCAAAATATCATAGACTAAATCAATGGTAGTGATTAGAACACAACTCCTCTACATTCTTTTCCTTTTTCTTTTCTTTTACCTCTGCATGTCTCCTCTTTCTCCTTTTTTCTACTG